AATACACACTCTGCCAGCCCTTTCAACGGCTACCTGACACAACAAGCGGTCCCGCACTCATAACCCCTGTGGCCTCACGTCGATCACACTCTTTCTCGGTCCTGTCCCTTTTTCTCCCCTTTCTTTCTCAACCCACCGGACACCCCCAGTCAGCAGTACAACGGTCTTTCACCGACGAAGGCGCGATAAGCAATTCATCACTTGCTCATCCATCCTGACCACCAGACAACGCAGCACACCGTGGTAAATCCACATCGTCTTGGCACTCTCGAACGTCTGTCATCACAAACAAGATGAAGTCGTCATTCGCAGCTATCGGAGCGGTCGCTCTCGCGGCCATCGCGCTCAGCTCTCCCTCGGTCACTGCCCGCGAAGCAGACCCAATGCACCAAGCGCGGATGGCGAAGCGCCACCACCACATCGTCGAGCGCGCCGAGAATGCCAGCCACGTTCAAGCAATCGAGAAGCGTGGCTACTCAGGAAAGGGAACTTACTACAACACGGAGACCGGTAACGCTGGCTCGTGTGGCAACATGCTCAGCAACAACGCCTTCACCGTCGCTGTTGCCGGTGGTTTGATGAACTCTGGCCTCTGCGGAAAGACGGTCACCATCAGTGCCAATGGCAAGACTGCGCAGGCCACGATTGCCGACACTTGCCCACCTGGCGGAGGACAGTGCTTTGGCTCTGATCTTGACATGAGCCCTGCTCTCTTCAAGTACTTCGGAAGCCTCGGTCTCGGTGTCCTTCAAATCCAATGGTCGATCGGCGGTTCCTCGGGAGGCGGAAACTCTGGCGGCAACTCCAAGGATAACGACAACAATGACAATGGCGATGACGCAGCGGCAGAGGCCGCAGCGCGCAAGAAACAGGCGGCACAGGACGCTGCCGACGCCGCCGCTTCCTCTCGATCATCCGTCTCGTCAGCTGCAGAAGCTTCCAAGTCATCCGAGTCAGCTTCCCGGGCAAGCGTTTCTTCCGCGTCGCGTGCTAGCGTCGCCAGTGTCAGCAGAGCCAGCGTTGCGAGCGTCAGCAAAGCCTCCGCCGCCTCCGTCTCGTCTATCAAGCACGAGAGCCGTGTCTCCGTTGCTGCCGAGGCCAAGGAGTCGAAGGCTGCGGCTAAGGCCGAGGCCAAAGCAGAGGCTGCGCGCCCCAAGAATCTCGAGCACTTTGCGGCCATCATGAACGAGATGTCCAACATGGTCAACGCAGCCAAGGACTAACCGTATGGCGCTCTCGATGCCATCGTTGATCACCAATCCTAAGCTCGCGTCACCTCATGAAATCGTCACCATCTCATCACGGGACGCCGTGCCCCTTGTTCGCGCGTCACCGAGTTCTTCATCTTGTTCACCGCATACCCTCTCACCATTCATCGCCTCGCTATGTCTAACTTGGATCGTTCAAGATTCATCACTAGGTCTTGCTTGTTGTCTCTCTTCCGTCCCGGCTTTATTTAGAACATCCTCTTGCGCGTACCATTTCAATGGCGTCGCGCGGCAAGCTCTGCTCTACGTTTCCACTTCTCGCTTCCCTATTTCCACGAGATCGTGTTGATCTCGTGCGGCTCTTCATCACGGTGGATTGTAGACTTGTCCGCGATTCACCGTAAAGACGGACTCGACGTTTTTTGGCCGGACTGGTTCTGCTCAAAAGTCGCTTTCCACGCATGTTTCTCAAAATTCTAGGCTCGCTTTATGCTCCGGACTCATCTCCCTCATCTTACTTTTGATATCCAAAACACCCTTCGTCTCTCTGTACGCAATTGCTGCTCTCCTGCTATCGGCGGGACTCGCACGCTTGCAATAAATTTGCTCTTCGAAAACGAACTGTTTGTGGACAAGTCGGACCGCGGCTTTGACGTCAAGTGCCGCGATGCGCAAGGCGTTAGAGCAGAACATGACACTTTGTTTGTATTGCTCGAGAGAGAAGCGGTATCGAGATGCGGTGAGGCGTTGCCACGTAAGAGGATGCACTTAGCCAGGGGTTTTGCAAAGGAGATGCGGGGCAAGATGTTGATAGCAGCGGAGTGAGAGGCTTGCAGGGAAGAGGAAGAAAAAAAGTCAAGAGCCAGATGAAGCAAAATTGCAAAATCACAATGGTTTGGTGTTGGAGGGGTTGAGGAGGGAGGGGGATTGATTGCGCGAAGCTCTCTGACTCTCCCACACCCCAGCTAAAGCTTCTGCACCTCTCCTAGCAGGATCTCCCACATACTCTACCCTCTCAAACATAGCCCCTAGCTTTGCCAATTCTTCCACCAAAATCTGCCTGTACTTTGACACGCCAACAAGACTTCCACCGCAGCACAGCACGCTTCGGTCCGCTCGCAAGTGAGCTCGAGAAGTGTCAGGCGGTCGAAGGACCTCGCAAATTTGAGAGGCGATCTGCGAAGCTTGTCTGCGCAGGATCGCGAGGCAAAGCGAGTCGTCGTGATTGAAGGCCAAGTGGAAAACGAGCGGTGTAAGCGAGGCGATGCGGTGTTTGCGTTCGCCAACAGCATTGGCTACTGCTGCGGCAGCTACCGCGTGAGGTGACAAAGAGCCGAAGGTGATGTCATCGTGATGCGCAGATTCGACCTGCTGCTCTTGATTCGTCGAGGTCGACCTGTGTGTGGCATCATTGGAGACTGCCGCAGAGGCTCCAGCTTGGAGATCAGCCACGGCCTTCGGAAGTTGCGCTCCGCATGTATGTAGTGCTGCATCTTTGCTCGTGCTGCCTCTCCTCGCAGCCGGTGTCGACTCGTCACTCGAGGTCAAGGCAGGCACCGGCGAGACCGGCCTGTCTGCATCGATCTCGGGCGCCGTTGGCGGTAGCAGATTTGCAGATGGCTCTACGAAAGCTCGCGCCAGAACTGCGCTGCTCTTGCTGTTGGTCATAGGTAGCGCGACCGATTCTGATCCCTCGGAAGTACTCGTGCTCGGGGAGGGAGTGGAGGAACCTTGCCCAGCAGTGTCGCCAGCGAGTCTGCCACGAATCGTAGCTTGTGAGTTTGAGATGCTATGAGCCGCATTTGCACCATTCGCTTCCCTTGGCATTTCGCTGCTGCTGCCTCTTCGACTGCCACTGGTCGACGACGGAGCTGTCGAGGCGCTCTCCGATGGAGCTGCAGAGGGTCCGATGGCAGGGTAGGATGCGGGGACATCGTTAGAGTACACCGCCATGAGCAGATCGTCAGTCGACTTGATGCCCCAGTGCTTGAGAATGCGATCTCTGAGCAGGTGCACGTCTTGACCTAGCGCAACGGCGTTGGTGTCGGCGGCATCGTCACCCATCAACCTCTCACGGTCTGCCTGGTCGAGGACGAGTCTGACTGCGTCTCTTCCAACGGCGTAGCCGCTTCCTTCATCGCCAAGCAGCCATCCGAAGCCACCAACTCGGCCTAGGGTCCTTAGTAGACCGTCTTCCCTTCGGCCGAAACTCATTACGATACTTCCCGTGCCAGCAATCACCACAACCCCTGATCTCGTATCTGGATACGCGGGATCTGTGACGGGAGAAGCCAACAAAGAAGTGTCGTTGGCAACGATGAGCCGCGGTGAAGGGTGAGGCAATCCGAGTAGCGAGGCCAAATGGGGCGTGAGCGCAGCAACATCGCCAGGGCTGTCGACGCCAGCAATACCAAACCAAGCTGCCTCAAAAGGTGTTCGTTGCTTGTTGGCCAGCCGCGTCGTATCACCGACTGCTTCAGAACTGTCCCGAGAAACTGCGTGAGGCTCGCCAGACATCGACGCCGTCCCGTCTACGTTGCTATTGGGTCTCGATGGGTGAATCGATGCTGTTGCGTCTGCATTGCTACTAGATCCTGATTGGCGGGTCGCAGCTTCCTGTACAATGCCCGAGGACTGTCCGAATTGCTCTCTTGATGGCGAGACAAGCCGAGCGATTTGCTCTGTATTCGTAGATAAAGAGACACCAGCAGCGAACAGCGCTTCGCGTACCGCAGCATCAACGCTTCTCAAGAACGCGCGTAGGCCAACGTCGGTGTAATTCGCTGGTCCTCCAAATCCTCGACCTCTGACCATGCCCTGCTCATCGCATATTGCAGCAGCAGCTTTGGTCCCTCCGCAGTCGACGGCAAGATAGAGTCGAGGCATCCTCGACGACTTTCGCCTAGTCGCGCTCCTGCTGCGCGTGCTGGAAGCCGACGTTCCTTTGGAACTTGTAGCAGATCGTGAGCTTTCGCCGGGCTGCACTCTGCGGTGGTTGGCGAGAGACGTCATGGCAATGGTGCCAGTGCCAAGTGTCAGGAGTCAGCAAGAGTTCGCAACGAGTTGGACCTCTTGATCTGACCAGCAATGACCGGTCGCACGCTCTTGCCGCCTGGTAGACTCTGAGTGCCAAGCGAGCAGCGGGCAGCACCTTTAGCTCGTGGTGTCTTGAAGACGAACGCGTTCCTGGAAAGCCTCCTTCTAGAAGCGATAGGGTGGCAGTCGGTTGCCTGTGAGGCGGTTGACTACCGACCAAGCGCAGAAGACCCGGGCAGGATCTTACCACGAGCTGGCAAAGGAAAACACAAAAGCCACGGGGGCGAACGGGCGCGAAAGCCGTGGGCGTGTGTCACGACAAAGCTCACCTCAGAGTCGCCGGAAATCACTGACTGACTGCAATCCGTGCAAAAGATCGTCCGGCCGGTGGTTGCTTTTGCGGGAACTTGAAGCCCTGGTAATGAACCGCGCTGCCCTCAGGGCCACCTCTCCACACAGGCAAGGAAAGACGCAATCTAGCTCTTCTATCTCCAAAGTACCGGTCGCCGATTGCAGCACGACGTGGCGGAGCCGCGTGTGCGTGCCGGTACCAGCTCTTGATCGTGACGTAAACACACTTTCAGACGGCCCGGCTGCGTGCGACTCGACCCGTCAATCAACGGGACCGCAACAAATATGGGTTGCAATTCCGCTCCCGTCTGCCGTGACCTCTGCCTAGGTCCGACTTGAGGTGATGAGACTGCTACACGTGGTGCCCTGTCTCCTGCAACCTGCCAGCTTGGCCGCTGGTGTTTGTAGAGGCCGGCCGACCTGGAAGAAGATGGCGATTGTGTGACCAGATTGGAGCTGCTCAAGCCTGTGGGCGCAATGCTAGACGACCAGCTAGGCAACACGCTTTCCCTTTCCCCTTTTGCGGAGTCGCTGTTCTTGGCGAGTCTGGATGTCGAAGCCACGGCGTAAGTTGCGAAGCGCGCGCAGACTTTATTAGCGAGCGAAGACCGATTTCAAAGATGGCGTGATGGCCACGGGTCCCTTGCGCCCCGCCCAGATAACGAGATTGTCAGGGCCGAAAGAAGGATGGGGTGGCGGATCTGAAGGGGTCACCCGCACTACCAAGCGATGACGCGCTTCCGATGATGATTCTTTTCGATGGGACCGGAGTCCACTACTGCCATCGCATCGCACTGCTGCACTGCGAATCCAGGGCACCGCAATGTGAATGTGATTGGCAGCCAAGGGAAGGATTCAGCGCTGTCTTCTTGGCGGTGCTGATTCAGTGTGGTGACGAATTGCAAGACCCCGTGCGTCGAGCGGCGATTTGAGCGGTTTGACTGAAGCCTTTAGTGCGTGAATGCTCTCTTTCGATCGTCAGCAGCGAAAGGTGGCTGAGGAGGAGGACGCAGTCAATGAAGAGTCGAATGTATGCGTTCGTGATAGCTGTGCAGTGCTGTGCTGCGGAGAGTGGCAGCGCCACAGAGCCAAGTCGACGAAGCAGTATGTAGTTGGCGCAAGCAGAGATGAGACGACCAGCAGGAGCACACAGCTTGATGCTGCCACTGCTGCTTACAGTGTATGTGCAAGCGACGAGTTCTGAGTGGAAGATGCCTGGAGTCCCTCGATCGATCGATCCGCTCTCGATCTGCCAGTGTGCTTTGGCAAACAGAGCGATAGCCGCGGGTGGTGATGGATGGTGTCTGGGCGCGAGCGCGCAAGTGCAATAAGGCAGTGAGGGGCGTGTGTTGTGTATGCGGGGTTGAGATGGGATGAGACATGCGACGTTGATGACGCGCGAAGACTTACGACCCTGTTCTGTTTGTTGCGAGTCAGTCAGGCATGCATGATGCTAGCTGATGCTGGTCGCATTTGATTCAAGATTCACAATTCTGAAAAGAAAAGAAAAAAGTTTGCCTGTGATTGCCGCTGCGCTTGTGCTCGATCGATGCTCAGATTGAGAATCACAGAATGGTCGGGAGCAGTCAGTCTGGACTCAGACTAGCTGAACGTCGCATGTGAGTCAAGTCGAGTCGAGTCATCCAAAAAAAGACTCAAGACTAGAGAGATGAGGACGCGCAAGTATCTGTTTTGGGGTCGGAGAAGAGGAGCAGCAGCCAGCTTGCGTGCGCGCATGCTTGCTTGCATCGCATGCATGATGCTTGCTTGGTCCGGTGCTTAAGATCGACGCGCAGTCACCCAAAATCGCATGAGCCCGATACAGTCAGGGCTCAAAATTATCCGAAGGGGAGAAAGCAGGGGCAGCTGTCGCGAACTGTAATCGAGAATACAACATGATGCAATCTGCTGTGAGTCTGCATGCAGCATGTGCCTCATGCGTGCGCGCGAGGGTCCTGCCTTCTACTCTATTGCGACTCCACATAGTTACGATGAGTGCTGCTGCTGCTGCTGCTGCCGCTGCCGAGACGCAGATGGAGGCCTCGCAAGCGACAGGCGGCGTGGGACGTCGAAGCAGCACAGCTATAATAGCACCAGCAGAGCAAAAGGGGCGATCGCTGGAAGAGCAAGCGAGTCATACCTCTTGTTCCTTTCAACTCCGCGCAGCATTCGATCCGTGAATTCATTCAATTCGTAATTCATCTTTGACGTCGAGCGAAGCGTGCACGCATCAATCTGATTGGCCTTGTTTCTTCGGCTTAGACGGCGAGAGGCTTGCTTGCTGCATGCACCAACGCGCGCGTCACATGGGTCTCCCCCCAAAGCTCTGCAGCATGCTCTGCGCCGCGTCGTGACTCACACAGTACATAACGCGCAACACCACCACGGCACGCGTACCGGTACCGCGCCAGACCCGCGCGTGTGTTGCATACCGCCTGCGTGCAGCAGTCAGCAGTCAGAAGTGTACTGTACGCATGCAGCATGCAGCA